GGCTGGGGAAGGAGAGAGAGAGAAGGTGTGCCCTCCCTGTCTTTCTTGCACTATCCCCTTTTAATCTAATTAAGTTCCACACTCCCCTACAGCAGCACCCCACCCCCTGCCCCACCAGCCCAAAATGTCTGGCTACAGGGCTGCCCCCCCTCCCCATAGGAGGCTCTCCAGGCGGGTCTCCTCCGATCAGGGGCCCCTCACTTACCTGGGGCTGTCCGGGTGTGCTCCTGCCTCGGCTCTGCAGCACTGGGAACCAAGCACTCAGCCCCACAGTTGGCTGACCTCAAGCAGCTTCTTAAGGGGACCCTGGTGTGGTGCGGGGAGGGGAGGGGAGGGGAGGGGAGACCAAGGCTGGGCCAGTGGCATGCTGGCTCCCCCCCCTCCTTGCTGCCCATGAGGGTGCCTGCCTGTGCGCTACGGGGGCCAAGCCAGGATCAGGCTGCCATTACCACAAGGGGGAGGGGGCACGCCGGGGTGGCATCAAGATGGCACCTCACTCAGGCCATGGCCTGGCACCTTACAGCTGGCCCCATTAGGTTTGCCTGGAGGAACCACAGCCGGAAAAGGGCAGGCTTAGCCTTCTTGGTGGCAAGCCACGGGAATCAGAGGGGCCTACTTCTAAGTAAATATGGCTGAAAGAAGCCCACCCCCTGCCTAGACTTTGCGCAGCTCCCCACTTCCAGTAGCGGCCGGGGGGGGGGGCAGGGACTAGGAGAGCACTCTCATTTTCTCCTATTTTTATTTTATTATTTTGTGACATCAGAAGTGACGCCATGCCCCCCACCACCAGCACTACCAAAGATCATCTAGCCGCCCTGAGCCTTCAGGGTAGGGCGGGATACAAATCTAAAGATAAATAAATAAATAAAAAATAAATACGGCGCTAGGTGATGCCTGAGACCCTGGAGAGCTGCTGCCAGTCAGAGTAGACAAGACTGACCTTGCTGGGCCAAGAGGGGTCTGATTCAGTAGAAGGCAGCTGCATGTGTGTTCGTTTCAGAGAGGGGCCGTAGCTCAGCAGCAGAGCATCAGCTTGGAATGTAGAAAGTCCCTGGTTCAATCCCTAACATCGCTAGTTAGAAGGATGAGATAGTAGGTAATGTAAAAGAGAGTCAGTGTCAGTCAGCGTGGACAGTATTGACCTTTATGGGCCAAAGGTCTAATTCAGTAGAAAAACGCTTCAAGTGTGTTCATTTTGGAGAGGGCCATGGCTCAGTGGAAGAGCCTCTGCTTGGCATGCAGAAGGTCCCCGGTTCAATCCCCGGCATCTCCAATTCAAAGGATGAGGCAGAAGGCGATGGGAAAGACCTCCGCCTGAGGCCCTGGAGAGCCACGGCCAGTCTGAGTAGACAAGACTGATCGTGATGGACCGAGGGGGCTCTGATTCAGTAGAAGGCAGTTGCATGTGTCAGTTCTGTTACTACAGCAGTTCCTTTTTAGTAAGAATAATTATTATGAATTCATTTGTATCTGTATAGACAGTTGTTGATAGTGAATAAGATGTTATTAGAGAAACATCAGAAAAACAGGGAATAATAAAAAACAGCTCAAATAATGCGGCTGCGTTATAAAATGGTGAACCTGAAGCACACCCGGCCCAGAGATCTGGATTTTATAACTTCCTCTGTGAACTAGAAATACTTTCCTTCTGTGTGGTTAGCCTGTAAATCTTCATCCTTTTTGTCTAGACATTTCCAAACATCCTCGCAGTCTCTTTGAAGTCCAAGTCCAAGTAAGACAAACAAATGAAATTTAAATATAATAAATATGCTGTTCACCAACACCACCCCTGACATTTTTTATTCATTACTAAATTAACAATTGAACACAAACAGGTTTCCCTTAACTATTTTATCATATGTAAAAGCAGGTCAGGAAGAAGGCATCTTAGCTTTTGAGTTGTTATGTTTTTAATTACAAGCTCTGGCAATGATGTTGAATGAATTGCATGAAAATAACTGGAGGAAAAAGGAAGAATATAATACAAGTTCATAGTCTGAAAGGAGATTCATGCTTATTAGACTTACTCTTGTCCTGGTGATAAAGTCTGGGAAGTTCCCAGGTTGCCTGCTTTTGCCAGCAGCTCTTCCAGTAAGCAGTCTTCGCCTGCATTGTGTGTCATATCATGGAAACTCCAAGGTTGTAAGAGCTCTGGTGGGAGTGGAGGGATTTTGTTGGAGGGAATCTGTGAAGGATAACTCATTCTGTTTTCCTAGGTTCCACTCGTTCTTGTTATTTATGGGCTATCCTCCTTACACAATCCGGGAAGTGAACATCAATAAGTTCTGCAAAACCATTAGTGAATTCGCCCTCGAGTATCGGACCACCAGAGAAAGAGTTCTGCAACAGAAGCAAAAACGAGCCAATCACAGGGAGAGAAATAAAACCAGAGGGAAGATGATCACAGATGTAAGTGATGGATTCAGTCTCAGTCCGTGACGTTGCATAAAGCTTTGTTGCCAGCCTGGGACCGGCCCACTGCTCTAGCGGCTGCGAGCCCTTCTGACTCCTCCAGTGTGAGAACGGAAAGCGGTTTCTGGCCACTGTCCCTCACCTGTCAGGCTTTCGACAGGCTCTTGTGAGTTTTGGTAAGCCTGTGCAAAAGCCAGAAGCTGCCTGTGTCCAGCCAGGGAGAGTTCCGTTCTGGGCCAGGAGGTCGTACCGCCCCGGGCACAGTTGGCTGATTGTCCACCTCCATTGAGAAGACAAAGAACCATCACCTGTCCCCTCCCTTCTCCCGCCTGTATTTCCCTGCTCTCCCACCACTGTCTAACCCAACGTTAACTGCTGGTGACACAAACCAGCTTCCAGATGGGTTTCCAGACCCTGGGTGCAAATCCAGTACCTTAGGGGAAAGACATGGCTTGAATTAGTGACCTTTCATTGAATGCACATAACATTAATAGCACTCCTAATAGCATTCTGTCCTATGGAACAGAAAACAATTCAGTTTCTATCTTACAATAGCTCTAGTAGGAGTTATTAATTTGGGAACAGAAAAGATATCGGCTGATCAGGATTGCTGACTGGGTTGGGGTTCACAGCCGGCTTTGATAAAAATATAAAAAAACCTAAATTACTTTTCTCTGTCAAGTGACCTTTAGAAATCTCCTGGGTTTTTAAAAATCTTCTTTTAAGCTTGTGCTGTTTCTCTCAGTCCAAATAAAGTTTAAAGAAGTGCCAGTACTTAATAAAAGTTTCCAGCTGTCTTAGAAATATGGCTCTGGTGTCTCGATTAAATAGATGCAAAGGCCTCATCACAGAGGAAGCGTCCTCTTCCCCGGGCTTTGGCATCCACAGTGGTCGGCCCCATGGCCCACAGGGCAGAGCAGCCGAGTACAAGGAAAGCAGAACCCCACACCAACAGTAAGGCCAGGCTTTAAGTCACAGGACTGACTGCCATTCGGTAGGGATTTTGTGGCCATGGCGTTCCAGATACTGGACATTAGACTGACTTTAGAAGAGTTCCGAGCTGTAGTGTTGCTAGGGTTGCCAGGTCCCCTCCTCACTCCAACGGGGGGATTTGGGGGGGGTGTTTTGGGGGTGGTCAGGGATTCCCCCAAGTGTGACCACCCGCCCGGCCACCCCTCCCCTCCTGCCAGATTTAAAGATTTAATAGAACTAGTTTGGTGTAGTGGTTAAGTGCACGGACTCTAATCTGGGAGAACTGGGTTTGATTCCCCACTCCTCCACTTGCACCTGGCTGGATGACCTTGGGGAAGCCACAGTTCTGGCACAGCTGTCCTTAAAAAAGAGCAGTCTCTGCCAGAGCTCTCTCAGCCCCACCTGCCTCACGGGGTGTCTGTTGTGGGGAGGGGGAGGGAAAGGAGTTTGTAAGCCGCTCTGAGACTCCTTCGGGTAGTGAAGGGCCGGGTATAAATCCAAACTCTTCTTCTCTTCTTCTTTTTCGCCTGATTGGCAGGGGCCCCGTGGCCCACCAATCAGCTGGAGGGCCCTTTAAATCTAGCAGGAGGGAGGGAAGGGGTGGTTGTGGGCCACAGGCATGCAGCCCGCAACCACCCCCTCCATCCCTCCTGCTAGATTTAAAGGGCCCTCCAGATGATCGGCGGGCCACGTGGCCCCCACCAGTCAGCTGAAGCCCTTTAAATTGGGCAGGAGGAGAGGGAGAGGGATGACAAGGTGGGGGCTTGGGGTGGGCCTTCCTCCACTGGCCAGGGGCAGATTGGAGCCCCCAAAATCAGGGGAGCCCCAGACCAGACCTGGGTGCTGGCAACCCTAATTGTTACTGTATGAGTTTTCTTTTAAATCCAGGCTCCCGGTAAGAAACTGGGCTTCCCATACCCTTCACAGTGTGGCGTATATGCAGCAAAATGATTGGCTCATGGATATTGGGTTGCAGAAAAAGAGGGATGGTTCTGATTGATGGTACTGCTCCACCCAGGCAGCAGGCATCGTTATAATTCATTTCTGTATAAGGTGTCTCTCTTTATAATTTTTTGTTCTGCCTTTGTACTCAGCATGGTGTCTACATTGTTGTGCTGTTTTAATATGGCCCATGCATTTCAGGATCTAATCAAAAATAATGAATCAAATGCTGGGGGAGATGCCTCAGGCCCTGGCCTTAAGGCCCTGTCCTGACCAGGGATGCAGGCTGGAAACGGTGCCGGGGTCACATTGCTCTTTGGGCCTTCTGGAAAGAGGCCGCAGAACATGGAAAGCACAAAAACCCGTAACTGATCAGAGGGCTCTCTCTCTAGCGCCAAATGGAACACAGGCGGCCCCTCAAGAGGCTGAGAGCAGAGAGACCAACGTGGTAGTCATTGTGTTTTCAGTCCTGGAGATTAAATGGAGCTGATGCTCAAGGCAGCGGAAGTCAGATACAGGAGAACTACTGCCAGTCTGAGTGGACCCATTGATGGGCCCAGGGTCGGTTTCCGTAGAAGGCAACTGCAGGTGTCCCTTTGCTCAAAGCCACTCAGGAGACACATCGGTGTGGGTGGATCTGAACACAGGTCTCCTGCATCCAGAGCCTCTACGCCAGCCCCTGCTTCACACTGGATTAATTTCAAAGAGGAACCAGTGGTGTTCCCACCTATTGGCATCGGAGACAAGAATGCTGAAGTTAAAAAAAAAAAACTTATGCAAAGACAGTTTTTGTGAGGGGAAAGGATGTTAGCAGAGTTGGGGGAAATAATCCAGTCCCACACTTGCATTCTATAACGTTTATTGCAAGAACAGGATTTGCAAAAACATCAAGTACTCTCTGGAAAAGGCACTAATGCTGTCGGGGCTAAGTCGCTTCATTCTTAGCCCTGCCAGCTGAACCATGGAGTGACATCAGTCCCAGGGCTCAGCACAATGTATCTGGTTCAATCAGAACAAGGAAAAGCATCGGAGCTAATATCCTGACTCTGCCATGAAGCTCTCTGGGCTACCCACCATCTCTCCACCTAATGTTCCTGACAGGATTTTGCAAAGACAAAATGGGGTGCTTTCATCCATAAGAATATAAGAGAAGCCAATGTTGGATCAGGCCAATGGTCCATCCAGTTCAACACTCAGTCACACAGTGGCCAAAATTACCAGGTGCCATCAGGAGGTCCACCAAGTGGGACCAGGACACTAGAAGCCCTCCAACTCTTGCCTCCCCCCGAGCACCAAGAATACAGAGCATCACTTGCCCCAGACCGAGAGTTCCTATCTATACCTTGTGGCTAATAGCCCCTGATGGACCTCTGCTCCATATGGTTATCCAATTCCCTTTTGAAGCCGCCCATGCTTGTAGCTGCCACCACCTCCTGTGGTAGTGAATTCCATGTGTCAATCACTCTTTGGGTGAAGAAGTACTTCCTTTTATTCATTCTAACCCAACTGCTCAGCAATTTCACTGAGTGCCCATGAGTTCTTGTACTGTGAGAAAGGGAGAAAAGTACCTCTTTCCCGACGTGATCTATCCCATGCATAATCTTATAAACCTCGTCATTTCTCCAAGCTAAAGAGCCCCAAGCGCTTTAACCTTTCTTCATAGGGAAAGTGTTCCAACCCTTTTATCATTCTAGTTGCCCTTTGCTGAACTTTTCCCAAAGCTATAATATCTTTTCTGAGGTTTGGTGACCAAAATTGCACACAGTATTCCAAATGAGGTCTCACCATCGATTTATACAGGGGCATTATGATACTGGCTGATTTGTTTTCAATTCCCTTCCGAAGAATCCCCAGCATAGCGTTGGCCTTTTTTACTGCAGTCACACACTGTCTCGACATTTTCAGTGAGTTATCTACTGCGACTCCAAGATCTCTCTCTTGGTCAGTCTCCGCCAGTTTGGACCCCATCAATGTGTATTTATAGTTAGATTTTTTAACCCCAATGTGCATCATTTTGCACTTGGGAACACTGAACCCCATTTGCCACTTTGACGCCCACTCGCCCATCCTCGACAGATCCCTTTGGAGTGCCTCACAATCCTCCCTGGTTCTCACCAGCCTGAACAACTTCGTATCATCCGCAAATTTAGCCACTTCACTGCTTACTCCCAACTCCAAATCAATGAACAAGTTTAAAAGTATTGGACTGAGTACTGGGCCCTGCAGTACCCCACTGCTTACCACCCCCCACTGAGAAAATTGCCCATTTAAACTCACTCTCTGTTTCCTATTAATTAGCCAGTTTTTGATCCACAAAAGGACGTCCTTTTATCCCATTACTATTAAGCTTACTTAGGAGCCTTTGATGAGGAACGTTATAAAAAGCGTTCTGGAATTTGCACTAAGATCTTCAACGTGGTCTCTGTGCTTCACACCCATGGGATACAGTGCGCACGCACTGGATCGATTGGTGCTGTAGCAAGCTCTTTTCTAACGGATTTTCGCGCCCAGTCCCTCCAAGCATGCGCAGGAACCCCACCGTGCATGCCCAGAGGGGTGGGCGTGGACATCCCGCCAGTTCCTTTCTTACCGCCACGTTGGAAAGACCTCTTTCGTCATCAGTCTGATCGGTTCGCTGATAGCCTTTGGAAAAACCGTCTCAGCTCTTGGAAATTATTTCCACTTATTCTTTTTCCTTTTTGGTTCTTGTTCCTCAAAAAAAAAAGGACTTTGTTTTCTCTGAGGGGAATTTACCTCAGGACTTCGGGCCAACCCCCCCGCCCTCTCAACCGTTATCTCTGCTCTACTTTTATGGAGAAGAAGTGGGGATTTTTTTAAAAGGTGTACACGTTGTGGAAGCAAACTTGCTCCTCTGGACCAACATAAACTTTGTATTTTCTGCCTCGGAGAGTCTCATAAACCGGAGTCCTGTTGTCATTGTGCTCACTTCTCCAACCAAACGAGGAAAAAACGTGTGGCGCACCTTAAAGTAGCGCTGCTTGAATCGGCTCTTGTTCCCGCCACGCCGATGGAGGAGAGACTGTCCACATTGACAGCTCTGACACCAAGGCCTTCCTCCGATG